TTCTTTGATATCAATTTTCTCTTTATTGATATCTTTACCTTCTTCAAAAAGTTGCAACATATAATGACAATAATATCGTTTATAGTGACTTTTAAAACTTACAATAATCCTAGCATCTAAAGGTTGAAGGTGGCTTGTAGTATTTGGTAGTAAAAGGCTACTTCAACATGTGTAAGTTGAAGTTGATGAGTATCCAGTAGAGTACTTCTTGATCTTAAAACTCGATTTCCTATAGAAGTATTAATTCAGTAAGTTTCTGTAGTTTATTTTTAAATTTTTTAAAAAAAAATCAAATTTAATTTACCACGTTCTCTTGAAGTAGAACCTGAAGTAGAGCTTGAAATAGAATCCAAATTTGGAGTAGAACCCAAATCTAAAGTAGAACCTGAGCCCGAAATATTATCATCATCTTGCAAATGGTAATTTAGATTGAAATATGATGGGGGCATTATCAATTAAGAGCAAAATCTTTTTATTTTGTGCTCTAAAATGCCTATCTATATCAAGAAGTATTTTTCTAAATAACCTTAAATTCATCCATGCCTTAGAATTTCTACGGTAGTGAACTGGAAGACAGTCTAAATTAACACGTAAGAGAGGTCTTGAGCGCTTTGATTTACTAATCACCCATGGTTTGAGTTTGTCGGTTCTCGTAGTATTTGCATCTAAAAGAACAGTAATTTGTGTTTTGTCCTTTTTTTGACCAAGAACTGGTTTAGTAGAAAGTGTTTGATTCAGAGACATTAATAAAGACCCATTTCATCAATATTATATATTTGGTCTAAAGAATATTGGCTTAATAGTTGATGGAACTTAATTCTCTCTTCTGAAAGAAATGCTATCAACACACTTCCTGATTCTCTATGCATGTGATACTGACGAATATTATTCCTTTTTTTAAATCTATTTAACTAACTGTTAGAAAAAATCAACTCATCTTCTTATATATTAAATGTATTAGCAAAAAATTTTGCCTTTTCCTTTATCAATAGATCTGTTAAAATGATACTACTCGCTATTACATTTTCAACCCACAAATTCATAGTATTGTCAAGTATTGAAAATTTGACTCCTTTATGTTTAAAGATTTCTTTGGAACTTTCGATTTCTATTGCAGCACTCCAATTTTCACTATTTGTTAATATTTTTATTATAGTACTACGGTCAATATTTAAAGTCAGATTTTTTTCATTAAAATGTTTCACAATTTCATAATATCTTTTATTACTATTTTTTTTGCCCATTTACAAATTTCATATTTAAGACTGACACTTATAGCAGAACGTTTCTTAAGTTGGCCAGAAAGTTGTTTGGGTCGGTCAGGAGGCATTTATAAACTTGTTTAATAAAACAAACTAAATGAAAAGTTGAAAATTATTTTAAAAAAGGGGTATTTGAGAAAAAAAAAATCATACACATTGTGTGTAAATTTTATCGTGTAAAATTTATACATAATAATAAAAAGTAACGCTATGGGAAGAATGCGAAAACTTTCATTAAAATTATCAAAGAATAAAAGCGTTATGTTGTTCTATTTTCCTAGTATTATATTTTTAAGTAAAAGTGTTACATTTTTGTGTTACATATTATTTACCGTGAACTGTCAGCCAATTAGATATTTTCAATATAAGCCAATTAAAAATCTGTGATTGTAGAGAGGTTTAATTACTATTAAAAATAGTATGTAGTTTTAGATCATGTGATGATAGTGACTATAACTAATTTGTGACTATATAGAGGTAAATTAATAAGTTTAAAGTTCATTTCAGAAAATAGATTCTTATACAAAGGTGTAACTATATAGGGTGTGACTGTATAGGGGTCTGACTGTATATGTTTTCTCATATATCTTTATATAACTTTAAGTAAATCTTTTTTGATCTTATTTCTATTATTAATACAAATATTATTTCAATAAAAGAAAATTTTTTATGTATAATAAATGAATTATATATAATTTGTTATGATCTTTTAATTTATTTTTAATAGCAAATTGTATATACTATCAATATAATTAAATTTTAATACTTGGTTATACACTTTGTATAGTAAAAATTTAAGTAAATTTTTATTTGTCAAAAAAAATTCCAATTCTATATATTTGTGAAGTTAAATTTCTATTAAAAAAAAGCTATTATAGTATCTATTTTTATTAATTTACTACAATTTCTATTTTTCAAAAATAAAGCTAAAAAATATTTAGTATTATTAATTTCTATATAAAAATCATAAAGTTTAATTTTTAAATTATTTGTATTATCTAAATAAATTATATAATATTAATTAGTTTAAAACATTATTATCTTTCTATATAATTAAATAATAAGAATTGCATGTAATATTGATTTTATACTTATAAATTTTATTCTTTTTAATTATTTCTTTAAATCTGTTATAAAACTAATATCTTATATAAAGATTCTAAAAAAAATATTATTATATACTTGTATTCTTCAAGCCATTTTTTTACTAAATAAATATATTTTCATCATATTTATAATGATAAAAATTTTTAAGTTTACATAGGTTGTATATACCTGTATCATATAGAGGCGTCAATGGGGGGAAAAAATTTACAAATTTTAAGTAATTTTAGTTATTAAGCTAATTTTGTTTACATAATCATGATCAGTAGAGTGAATTAATAAAAAAATTTTTGACTAAAAAGTGGATTTTCCCCTTCTCTACTGACCTCCTTCTATATGATATATATTTGTTACTGGTATTATATTCTTTCATTTTTAATTTTTACTATTTATTTCAGAAACTTAGAATTTTTTTAGTGAAAAATTCTTATTCGTTACTAATTATTCATCATATAATTATTATAAAGTTAATTTCTTAATTTCTTCATATTAGTAAAAATAATGTTAATACTAGCTATTTTATGTGATCTATGTATAATATACCTATATATAAATAGAAATTGCCTATAATGATTAATTATGAAATTTGACTACTAAAAATAAATTTGTTTTTGACAAATTGATAAATCCATTTAATTGAAAACAAATTTAATATAAATTTTAAGAAGTAGAAGATTTAATAAAATCTTTAACAGAAACTGATACAGAATGATTTTCAGAATAAGAATGAAAATCTTCATAAATTATATGAACTTGAAAGATGTTTGTTGCTATATTAATAATAATTTTAAGTATTTTATTGCATTCAAATCATTTTCTTAAAGGTGTATTACATTAACAATTAAGATTTGCATTTTTGCATGTTTTTTTATACTTATTTGCTAAGAATAGATATATTATAAAGATATAGAATTTTCCTTTTAATGTTAATATTCTCTTTGGAAACTAATAAAAGTACTAATATTTTTAGTATTTAATTTATGATAAATAATATAAATTTGATAATTACTTACTTTCAAGAAGATTTATCTTATATTAGAGATTTACTTTACAATTTGATTAGCAGTTTCCTTTGATAATCAATCAAATAAGAAAAGCTAATGATACATTTTATATTTAACTGAAAATCATCTGCTTTATTTTTCTTATTTTTAGTAAATTCTTCCAGTTGTTTTGAATAGAAATCAAGAAATTCGTCAAAATTGATAAATTGTATTACAGGTTCAGTATTATTTAAATGACTACTATATTCAGTCTCTTGCAGCCGTTTGATTTTTTTGATTGTTTTGTACGACAATAGACGCAAGTGCAAAGTTGCTTACCAGTCTTATCATGAAGATAAAGCTCAATAGGTAAACTTTTATAACAACCAGAACATGTTTAACATGGTTGCAACTTATCAATATTGCTATTAGAATTAGTTATTAAAATACAACAATATATACACGTATTAAAGTTAAATTACAATAAATTATTTGATATCGTTTTTTTGATAATATTTTAATATTTGTAACACAAATTGATTAAACGCGAAACATGGCTGACGACGTGGCTGATGCACGCTGACACGTTCAATACGTCATCAGGTCGCGTAAAATTACATATAAATACATTTTTTTAAAAAATAAGCTTAGCTTAGTTAGCTTAGCTTTTTTACAACCCACCCAAACCGCAAGAACATAAAAAAAAGTATCTTTGTTATTTACCTCTGTGGAATATTAAGATATGCAAGGAAGATAAAGAAGATAAAATATTTTTTAGAAGAACGAAGTGAGTTATTAAACCAGTTGACATTTATATTCTTTCGTTAGTAACTGACGAATATTATATATATATAAAAAGTTGGTATCCAAAACTGAGTCATTTTATCATAAAAAGACGGCACTGGCTACGCTGGTTATTTAGGTAGCTTAATGGGGCTGGTTATGAGTGCTTTATTGGCGGATACCTATCTTAGACGTTGTGTCATTCGTTAGATGTTGATTAATATAACAAAAGGAGTGAGTAACTATGATTATGACCTAGAATGGTATGTGTAAAGTTTTTTACTCCTATGACTCAGCGACTGATTGATGGCCTGGGATCTGCGTCCTGAATTGCTGATGATATTGCTCGTTTAGTATTCGGATTGAGGCCGTCGTTGCCTATTTTATACTTGCTTGACAAACATGTTAACCATCTCTTTAATATATTTAATAGGTTAATAACTACACGAATGACTAATCCTGCGAAAGGTGAGTTTTTATTCCTTAGCTTTTGTTTCATTGTAAGGTGAACGAACAGTAATATGCGGGGTGTGCGGCCTCCAAGCCGTGTATGATAATGCTGACAGTCTCCTAAATAGGGTAGTGCAGATTCGTATTATCATACTTGCAAAAACTGAGAAACACCCGTCTTGCGTGACCTCCTCTCCCTTAGCAAATACTAAATTAGTAAAAACCCTATTGTTTTACTTCAGGTTTAGCACGACCGGTTTCAATCGTGACGTTTCAACTTTTCGATATATGCGAAAAAAAAATCTATAATTGTTTTTATCCGAAAAAAATCGAAATAGTTTTTTTTTTTTTTTTTTGTTGAAAATTTATTTATTGAGATTTACATTTATTGTTTTGTTTTAAAAAAATTACAATGCACCAATTTCCTTATTATAAAAATATTTAAATGCGCAAAGTATCATTCTAAGTCTTTTGTGGCAACGTATTAACTTTTTATTAAATATGAAATAAAAAAAAAAATAAAAAAAAAAAGATAGAAAAATGGTAGTAGGTAGGATAGGTTTCGCGTCTAGATGAAAGTTTTTACAAGTGAAATGGCATCGAATTATTCCACTTCTGCGTAATTTTGCTGAATTCTCAAGAGTAAATGAGATGCGATATTCTGTTTTATTTTAGTTTTGTTTGTGGGCAGTATGAAATACCATTCATAAGAAAATTAAAGGAGATACGAGTTAAATAAAACATACCGAAATATTGTCATCGAATGTCTTATCTTTTCTGTGAGCATATTTAGTTCGAAATTTTAATGACAAACTGCCGATATATTTATTACCTATCTTCATAAACATGGATGATAAATACTGATGTATGAACTCGCTAAGGTGAAAAGAAACTTTATTAATCTGAGTTCATTTTCAGAAAATACAACAATAAAATAATATGAAACTAATATATATTTTTCTTTTTTTTTGAATTGATCTTATTTACCAATTGAATGGAAAATCCATAGTCAATTTGTTGATTTTTGGCTTTTCTGCGGGACCTTTAGCAACAAGGGGAGAGTTAAGTAATGTTACATAACAACGAGCAAAAATTAGTCTTACGGTACCATAGTAAGTTCGTTCTCGGATTTAATCATAAATACGACGGCTTTAATGCTGTCAATGTGACTTTGTAAATGTCTTCGTGTTTTTAAAAATGGATCTAACATTTTAAACACGAGCATCTGTAATTGTATAAAATATCAAGCTTATCACCCTATGGAATTTCTCTTAAAGACTGTATGAAATTAATCTTATAATGACAATTTCGAAAGAAAAAATATATCTTTTAAAATTTATGTTTATAATTATTAGCTTGAACCAGTGGCAGAAATTTTCTATTCTTTAAATGGGAATAATTTATCATCTGCAATTTCATTAAGAACGAAACTTATTAGTCACTTTCCTCTATAACTTTTTCATTTCTTTTATCAAAGAAATTACTTCGAGGTGGTCGAGTCGACCCGGGTTGTTCGACCCGACTCGAATTTTTTTTCGAGTCGGGTTTATCATTTTATGACACGAGTCCTAATTCGATAAAACCCGTCGGGTCGGGGTCACGTTTTTGTTAATACATTTGCCATTCTCTTTTTAAAAGATCAGAACGAAAAAAATATAAATATTCGTTGGACCAACCCTACTCGGGAATCGTAATAATTAATCATCTATTTATGAACACAATGGGTAAATGAATTAATGTTTGTATTCTTACTATATGAGAACCGTAGAAAAAAAAAAATGTAGGAATATAAATTTATTTAAAAAAACATCCAATTTAACAACTAACGTCACCACCAACAACCTTCAATCGGCTGTTGTTAATTACTGTATCTGGAAACAATTCTAGACGACATCAAAAACCAATTTGAGATTTCAATATTACTGTTTCAAATAATCTCAAAATCAAATTTATCACTCACTTCTATAAGTCCTACTAAAAAAATTTTTAATAAAAATTGGAATAAATGAATCCTAATGAAATTTTAAAAAAGAAAACTTTTTCCCCAATCCGTCTCCTTCAACTGCTTTATCTTAAGAAAATTGTGAGTAATTATCATTTAACAAGTCTTGTTTTTTTCATCTTCCCTAAATATATATTTATTGGCAAGATAGGCCTATTAAATATCAAATTGAGTTGCCTATACAAAATGTTTTAGAATGATAATGTAATGATGGAATCAAATTGGCTTGTTAGATCATTTATGTAAAAGTGATAAATAAGATACGCTATTATATGGAAATTCCTGTTTTGCTTGCATTAATAATATATATTCACATTCTTAGCTTTTTAATTTTTCAGTAATTTGATTATTAAATAAATTTGTGAGCTGAATTCATTTTTAGAGATGACTGAAAAATAAAGATTACAAAAGATACCATCATGGATCAACTGCTGAAGTGTTAGAACAGTTGCATCTGAAATTGAAGATAATTTTAATATTAACTTTAAAAATAATGAGAATTTAAGGATTTAGTTAGAAATATTCTTATTTTTTTCTGAAAAGACGTAAACATTGATAATAAAAAACTTTTGTTTATCAGTAAATTGTAATTTCATATAAATAATTCAATCAAATTTAGAACTGTATTGAAAAATATATTTTGAGAATTGAGAGCTAAATAATAAACTAATGCCAAAATTAATGATTGGCTATCACAATTTTTACTAAAAAATATTTGATAATAAGAAAAGGAATAATTGAAATATAATATGTTATTATATTTGAAATTAGTTTCTTGTAAATCTATTATATTATAATAGTAAGTAGAATAAAGTGAATAAAGGATATTTTGTTTGATAGGTTCATTAAATCTTTTAATGTTATGTAAGAAAATGGAAAATTTTTTAGTATTAGTAGTGTTTGAAGATCATAGAGGTCATTAAAATTATCTGTAAAGATAATAATCATATAAAAAAGATATTTTATTGTGAAAAACTGCCAATGCAGTATTCTGTTTTTTGTCTAAGTCTTTGTTCAAGAGGTCAAAAATACCTACATCATGTTGATTAAGAAGATTTTTATTAACAAGTATAGTTTAAAAGTTATGATAAGTTTTAAAAAGTTTGTTAATGGTTAAAGTAAATTCAAAGATTTACTGCTATTATTTTTAACAAATTATAATAAGCTGTTCATTAGTTTTTAACTATAAATATGCAGTACAAAGGGAAGTACTAATGTAAGGAGATTTAAGGTCAGCTTTAATAACAATTTTAGAAATTGCATTATTATAAGTTTCAGCATCTTAAAGGGTTGTAACTTCATTATTAATACTTTTTCTATAATATTTAAACAATTTTAAGAGAATTTAAATATGCTACAGAGATCTCTAAGAGTATTAGTAATAGATTCAAATTGGAATATGTCACACTTTTTAAAATTAGAGTCATGCATAAAGTCATCAGTAATAGTTCTATTTTTTATATTGGGAGTTAGGCATATTGTATTATTAAACAAAATATTATTATAGTCTATTAATTCATCACCTATCTTACAGTAAGTATTTTAATGGTTTCATTAATAGGGTTAGCAATAGGTTTCTTTGAAAGAGGTGAAGAAAATGATCTTTTATTTTAAGTTTGAAAATTATTAATGTTAGAATTAAGCAAGTTAATTATGTTAGCAAAGGTAATGTTATCTTTAATAGTATTATAAGATTTTTTAAATGCAGTATAACTATTAAATTAAGTAGGCTAAAAACATTAGTAAAGATACTAAGTATTTCTATTTTTAAATGTGTTTTTTTTTTCTAAAATAGGAAGATATTATAATATGTAGATGAACAAATAGTATAAAGCTTAGTTTTTATACTAGTTTATTCAAACTTTTTATTATTAAGAGTTAGGTTATTTGCATTGAGAGTAACTTTAACTTCTTTAGCATTATAAAAGAAAAAATAAGCATGCTAAAGATAATTGTAATTTGATTTTATACATAAAATAATTAAAGCAGTAGTATTGACTATCTGATTGATATTAAGTATAGTAATTCTTATTGGCAGATTGATAAGTTTTATAGAAAATTTAGATTATCTTTCCTGTCTAAGTTGCATATGTGAATTCGAATAGAATTATTGGTTAAAAGTAAACTATCTATTTCTTTAAGTAAATCAAATTTGGCTTTTTTGTCAAAGATAATAATAATATGCTGCTATGGATTTCTGATTTTTATAGTGCATCTGATAATATTTCTATAATAAGCAAAAATTTTTGGTTTGTATAATAGTAGCATCTAAAAGAATCTCAAATATCGTGAAATAAAAGGGTGTGTTTTTTGTATGATAAGGAGTAAGAATATTTCTTTATACATATTTAGAATCTATACTTTGCAAAGACTATTTCATTTTTAAATATCTAAAAAGGTAACTTTAAAAATGTTAATTAAGAGATCTGTAGATAATTTTTCACATGTTACACCTGCAAAAGATGTATAAGCAAATAATATTTATTTGTGATCTTAGTAATCTTTTGTTGAGGTTTGCATTAGGGTATTTTTAAGAGAAAATACACAAAAATTTCTTAGCATTGAGAATAAGTGTAACAAATACAACAAAATATTATAAAGGATATTTTCTAATACGTTTGATAGACTATCAATATTTATTGTATTTTCTTTAGAAGATGAAATAGTAATTTTATCTGCTTTATTTTTTCCTTTGTCAGTATTGTTACCTGAACTTTTTACAAGTAAGTCAACTTTTATGGTATTAGTATTCTTAATAAAAATAGGTTTAATAAACATTTTTGGTAGTTCTTGAATAATTTTAAAGTTAAAAATCTGAGTGGTATTTTGCTTTTTATTTAGTTATTTGATTAAAGAAGGTGATGCAAAATGATCATGATTATTAGATTTTTGTGATTTTTTAAGCATATTGATAATTTATTTATCTTATCTGTATTTTGATCTTAAATAATTTATATAATAAAATTATTTATTTCTATTTATATAATTTTAAATATCAATCAATTTGTAAATCTTTTCTTTAATTCACATTCTTTTTTTATTAATTTTAATTCTTATTTTCTTTTCTAGTGAATTTAATTTTTTTATTAATTCTTAATTCTTATTTCTTTTCTTAGTAAACTTAATTCCTAAATCTTTCACTATTAATTTCTATTATTTTATCATAATTTTACTATTATTTTTTATATTATATTATTTCTTCACTAATATTTCTAATATTACATTATATTTATCTTTAAATTTTATTAATATTTTTTTAATACAAATTCTAATTTCTATATTAATTTTTTATTTTCAACCTTTTGTTTCTTTTTTAATTTCTATTTTTCTTTCATTTCTTCCTTCATATTTTCTTTTTTGTTCAATTTATTTTGAAATAAAAGCAATTAAATAGACTTAAATATAGTTATTAAAGAAATAATATAATTATTATATATAAATTAATTCAATATTTTAGATGACTTATATGTAATATATGTATGTTACCAAAGATCTCATATTTGTAAATGGATATTAACTATTTTTCATATTTAGAAAAGATGTTAAAAAGGATATCTTTTTAATATTAAGATAAATATCAATAGCATATAGGATATATTATAAGAACTATATATTTTCTTTATAGATTATGTATTTAGTTAGTTGGTCAATTTCTAAATCAGAAAATTTCATAATCAATGCTGATTTTATAGATTCTTGATTATCAAAGTAAATAATTACTAATCTAATCAAATTAATGTGATAGACATTAATTTCTTTGAACAGTCTTATTATGTAAAAGTATTATTGATTATCTTGATAATATTATTAGTAAAAGTTTTTTGGTCATTTTGTTAATAATTGTAACGTTGTTAGTGATAATCCATTTGCGCAACTAAATGACTGCGCCAATTAACATCACCAATGATCACTAGGAAAATCGTGATCACTGATTTCACTGCTATCACAGCTATCATTGTGATATTCATTTTCATTATTTTAACATTTATCATTATTTTATTTATTATATTTATTATC